ACAAGGTCTATTATTGAGCCGCTGTCACCATGTTCATGCATGATGGTGCGTACTACTTGTTGTAAATCACATGCTAGCATTATATCCACCAATGGGCAATCGAGCAAATCAGTAACATTTTTCCGAGACCAGTCGATTAATGGTAAATTAAAGTCACCTGCCATTATAATTTTTTATGAACCAGGGAAGACATGTATCTGTACAGAGAAGATAAGTACTGAGATGGCGATGAGGACGAACGATACGCAGCGCACACTGTAAGAATGTGGCCCCAGCAGTTGACTTTTAGAAATAAACTTTCATGTTCATCAATTTGGGGCAACAATGTAGCAGAAAACGTGCTCTTCAATATTATCGCTACCCCACCACCGCACTAGTTGTAGGCCGCCCTTCCATGATCGAAACGACGAAATGCCCCGGGAGCTGATGGTGTTTCAGTTTCAGTTTCAATTTCAGTTTTATTGAGCATTTTCTTCACAGAGTTGCGAAAAAGAAAACGCAAGGATAAAAGCAAAAAGCTGCTATGTTAGCAGCTTGACGAGGCTTCTACCCCTTTTCACTTGGCATTACAAAAATCCGCAGAGCACAAAACATGAAAAAACAATTTGACGTCGATTTTCAAAACTTCAAGAAATTAGGAAATAAAAAGAAAATGCATCAAAATTACATCAGTTTCAGGTTTACATAAAATAAGCAAACCACAAAGAGAGAAAAACAACAAAAAACAAAAGAAAACAGCGTGCGGTCAATCATGAAACAATGCACACGTTGCTGAACGGCTACCAAAGTATTAAAAAATGATTATACAACGTTTACAACACTGGGTATGCGAAAAGCACAAGTTTTAAAGCACAAGGGAAACACTGACGAGTGAAATGTTGCATGTTTTACTCGTAAAAAAGCAACAAAAAATGTCAAAGAAAGCAAACATCATAAGATGCCATGTTACACACGAGCACTATTATAGGGTGTTTCTTTTACATATAGTATTGTAGCCGTACAACTAGAAGAATCTAAACTACACGCCGCCATTTTGGATGAGAAGGTTCTTAAGTTGTTTTTTATGTATATTAAAGATGTCGATGTTTTTATTTTCAAACACGTTAAAACAAGCTGGAATACAGTGTTCAAGTCTTCTCAAACCGTGATTAGTTCGCGAATAACGAACGAACCAGGAAGGCCTTTTCCGAATGTCATAATAGGATTGTGTATTTTTTCTGAGGTTACACAGTTTCAGAAAACAAGCGTTGTTTGATAGCAAGCTTTGTTTGTATTTCATAATAAGGTTTAAGCTGTGTATGTGATCGATGGGTAAAATCCTATATTCTCTGAATAAATGACTTGTATGTGCGTCGTATGGTACGTTTGCAATATGACGAATCGCTTTTTTCTGCAGTAAAAATATTTTGTTCCGATTTGCTTTCGATGCATCTGCCCACACTAGACTACGATAGTTTATGTGAGATGAAAACAACGTATTATAGAGTAAAAGTTTAATGTTTGCTGGAAGTATCTGTCGAAATTTAGAGAGAGCACCACACGTCCTAGCTATATTTCTAGTTACTTTATTAACGTGTTCGTCCCAATTAAGATTTTCATTAAAAATTACTCCTAATGATGAAACTTCTTTGCAACCTCAATTTTTTCGGGCCCGAGATATATATCCAAACCATGACAGACAGCCTTCTGAACCGGTGCGAATACCACAGCTTTGGATTTTTTTGTGTTGATCAATAAATAATTTGCAGTACTCCATATGAAGATGTCGTTAAGAATGTTGTTGGCTGAGTCTGCAAGCTTACCTAAATCATTACCATGAAAAATATACTAGTGTCATCTGCATAAATTATAAAGTCCACATATTTGCTGACACTTGTTATGTCGTTTATATAAATATTAAACAGTAGGGGCCCTAATATGCTGCCCTGAGGTACACCTGACGTTATGGTTAGTAGGGAGCATTGGCTGTCATTTATAACTACAGATTGCTTTCTTTGTGATAAATAAGATTTCAGAAAGTCAAATGGGGTTCCCCAAAAACCATAATGACGCAATTTTGCATAGAGTACTTCGTGGTTGATTCTGTCGAACGCTTTGGAATAGTCAATAAAAACACCCAGTGTTAACAGTTTCTTTTCAAATGAGTTAAGTATGAGTACTTTTTGTGTGAGGAGAGCCAGTTCCGTGGACATGCCCCGTCGGAAGCCAAATTGATGCGGTGATAATATAGAGCACTTTTCACAAAAAGACATGACACGTTGATATATGATTTTCTCTAGCCCTTTAGATATAACAGAAAGTATGGAGATCGGACGATAATTAGAAAAGATATTTCGGTCACCAGATTTGTATAAGACACTAACTCTCGCATGCTTCATTCTTTCTGGGAAAACTCCCGTAGATAAGCAGATATTAAACATATGGGTAAGAACAGGTAACAAAAGATCAAGTGCTGCTTGAATAGGCTTAATTTGTAGGTGATCTATGTCGCGAGCAGTAGTGTTTTTAGTGACATAAATACAGACAATACTTCTTCAGGAGTTGTGTTTAAAAAATATGCAGTGCTCATGTTTGGCACACCTAGAAAGTCCCTGTAATCATTATTACAGGCACGAGAAGGGTTTGATAAATCAGAGGACACCAGCGTTGTGAAGTACACGTTAAATTTATTAGCAAGTTCTTGACCTTTTACTATCTTGTTATCTATGTTTAACTCAAGCGCGTTGTCCCGAGAGCAACTTCTATTTAGAAGCTTATTTATTTTTTGCCACAGCACGTCGCCACGAGTGCAAACCCTTTTAAAGAGAGCTTTATAGTACGCATCCTTAGTTTTTCTCAGGTGCTTCGTTACAAAATTTCTATACCGCTTGAATTCCGAAAGATCGTTATGGTGTCTTGTTTTTACGAATTTCGCGTACAGTAGATTTTTCTTCTTAATCATTTCCAGACATTCTCGCGTCATCCATTGTTTCCGACCTTTCTTTAGGGTTTCGACAGTTTTATATTTGAAACACTTATGGTAAGTTTTTCTTAACAGGCACATGAATATTTCATACGCCTCATTAGCGTTACCTGATTTATAGACAGAATTCCAACAAATCTGCTAAATTTCACGCCTTAAAGTGTCTAATGTTTTGTTACTAATTTCCTGTATTTTGTATGATTCTGGAGTTGATACTTTTGCACGATTAAGATACCCGTAGCGATTTTGAAACATGTATATAGGGTAGTGATCACTATTATCGGCAATAACAGTTCCAGATACGGTTGAATCACTTATGTCATTTGTAATAAGTAAGTCGATAAGGCTTTCAGTATCTGAAGTGACACGTGTAGGTTCAGTAATAATATTAGCACACGCAAAGGAATCAAGTAGTAGTTGGAAGTTACCAGAGGTTTCGTTTGCTGTAAAAGGTTTATGTTGCAGTCGCCCCCTATGATAATGTGCAACTTGTTAGTGCACGCATACGTAAGCAGATTTTCAAGAAATTGATAAAACGCTTCTGTTTTTCCATCAGGTGGATGATAAACTACCACATATACATACTTGTGACATGCTAGTGATAATGCCTCATCGTCTGGTGTAATCGCTGAAAAGTCTGAGAGAAGGCTGCAAACTAAATGGTCAGCAATTAGTTGCAACACACCTGCCCCTCGACGAGAGGGCCTGTTTAGAAAGAACGATTTATACGTTGGCAAGCATAGTACCTCGTCATTGCACGTGTACCAAGTTTCAGAAATCATGATGGTGTCGAATTTAAACGAGAATTCGTCGAGAAACGTAGTTATATCATCGTGCTTGTTGCGAGCTGAGCGAGCATTTAAGTGCATGATACTGCAATATCCATGTGTGTAAGGTATATTGACATCACGTGGTAATATCGCCATCTTAACAAAAGGAAAAAAAGAAAAAGAAAAAAGAAGGTCGCACCGAAAAAACGAAAAGCGCTAATCAGATAAGCCTACAGCATGCTAGACGCCCCGCGGCTGCTTGAAGTGACCGCGTGCATCTTGTGCAAGTCGGCTTCACATGTGATTTGAATTGCACGAGACGTTTCCCTTTCACGCGCAAATATTTTGCCACCACTTGCCCACGCGAAGCGCCAGTTCATTTCCCGTTTCCGAGCAATCGTTATACCCAGCAATTTTTTCAGTTGGGGACAAAGGTGCTCATTTACGAAAACAGACTATTTAGTTGTGAATCCCAGTTCCTCAGCTGTGAATCGAGTTCTCCTTGCTTTCTTAACGATCACATCCCTCTTAGCTCGGCGATTGAAAACAACCACGATGTTTTCGTTCAGGGGGGCATCACTGCCTGCTTTGCTACCCCGATCGGGAACAGCGCTTGAATGAGGGCGTACCTCGTTGTTCCTTGCAACACCTGGGTCTGGTGCCGTGTTACTTTGCGAAGCGGCACTCCTCACTGGCCAACGGTGGCATATTTCTATGTCTTGTTCACTTATTGGCTCCCCCAAGGCATAACCAACTTTGTCAAGCAATTGCACAAGGTTTTCATTAGGCGTACGTGGGATCCCTTTAATTTCTATATTTTTGTTTCGAGAGTATTGATCCTGAGCAGTTAGGCGCGTGGAATTTTCGTGCACCAACTTTCTCAAACGGTCTATCTCACATTGCATTGCCTCTTGGGACGCCCTGAGAGCAGCGTTTTCCTTTCTAATTTCAGCGCACTCCTGTTTTATATTTTCGTAGTCTTTGTTCATGTATTCAAGGCTTTTGTTTAACTCTCTGGTTTCTTTTCGAATGTCACGTTTGAAGTGCGCGAACTCAGTACCCATGATTAAAGGCCAAGTTACAGATTCAACAGTGGGCAAAACAAGTACGAACTTTGAAAAATAGGCAACAGAGACAGCGCTGGGATAGCGAATGAACTATACAAAACAGGAGGGCAAATGCCTAACCTGAGAAAACAACAGCAATAAGCGTCCCCGTCGTATGCTGTCCCTGCTGCCAAGTCGGTTGAACTATCTATCACCTTCCAGATGCTCCGTAACCTGGACGGAGCTGGCTGCCAGCACCTGCTCGAGTACTACGACGACGTCTGGAGCAGTGGGGTCTTACCGGAGTCATGGCGCACTGTGGTCGTCGCCCCGATCCTGAAGCCCCGGAAGAAAATCATGGCCCTCTCCTCGTACAGGGCAGTCTCTTTCAACTCGGCACCCTGCAAGGTGCTGGAGAAGGTGGCCTTGGAGCGACTTGAGTGGATTGCTGGCCAACTCGAGTTCTTCCCGGAACAACTGACTGGCCTCAGACGCCACCGGTGCACAGCCGACTCCATCTCCGACGTCGTCGCCACCCTCGAGAATGCCAAGAGTTGGTGACGTGTCCATGTTGCTCCTGCTGGACGTGGAGAGTGCCTTTGACAGTCTCCCAAACGAGGCCGTCGAGACGTCTCTGGACCGACTTGGCGTTGACGGGTGCCTCCGCAACTTCATGACTGCCTTCCTGACCGGCAGGACCTTCCGGGCTCGAGTCGGAAAGGAGACCAGCGAACCCAGGGACATCACCGCAGGTGTTCCACAGGGCTGAGCCCCTTCCTGTTCAACCCGGCGATGGCAGGGCTCCCCGCTACTCGTCTGACAGGCACCAGGTTCCCGGCCCACTGCTCCGTCTACGCCGACGACGTGGCACTCTGGGCCCGGGGACCGAGGCGGTCCATTCCAGCCATCAGGACGTCACTACAGGTGGCCCTGAATGCGGTGTCCGCCTACCTGAGTGGCATCAGACTCAAGGTCTCCTCAACCAAGACCGAGACCCTGCCGATCCACCCGCTCACCACATCACGACGCTACGTGAAGCAGCTGAGGGTTGGCAACCGCAACCTACCTTGGAAGCTGACGGTGAAGTACCTGGGGCTCACCATTGACCACCGTCTCACCTGGATCCCAGCTGCCAAAGTCGCCTGCACACAGGTACGACGTGTCCAGGCTCAACACAGGTACGACGTGTCCAGGCCATCAGCAAGCTGCAGCAGCGTGGACGCGGCTGCACAACCAAGCTGGCGCTTTGACTCAACCAGGTTTCAGGGTCCTCAGTCCTGCTGTACGCCTTTCCACTGGTGGCCCTGACGCTTGCCAGGAGACTGGACCTGGAGGGACATCACAGGAGAGCAGTGAGGACCATCCTGGGGCTCCCCAGGTACTCCCCCGTGGCAGCGACCCTGGTCGAGGCTGGAGAGTGGCCCTTGTTCTTGCACATGCTCCAGAGTGCTCCAGGGCACGTAGACCACCTACACCGTGCTGCCGACGGCAGAACCCTCCTGGAACGATTTCGCAGCCAGCCGAGGTCACGGATGGGTGGTCTCTGTGCACTCTACCACCAGATGGTCCCGGACCCGCCAGTCCCGGTGGCCCCTCCACCACCCCACCACCAGCCGCCTGATGTCCACCTGTACCTGGATAGGGTAACCAAGCGCCGAACGCCTGCTGCAGCACGGCAACAGGCCGCCGTCTCCAAGCTCCAGCAGCAACTGGCAGGGCGGCTACAGGTCTTCCCTGACAGATCCGTCATGCCAGACGGTACAGCGGCGGCTGCCTGCGTCATCCCATCCCGGGCCATCAACAGGCAGTGCCGACTACCCTTCCCGGTGAGCTCGACGGCTGCGAAGCTGGCAGCGATACACCTGGTGGCAGACCGGCTGCCCGAGGACGTTCTGGCTGAACCAGTCGCAGTCCTGTGTGACTGCAAGGTAGCCCTGCAGACGCTGGCCAATTGTCGCCGTGCCGGGCTCACGGGGAGTCTCCTGGAAACCAAGTTCCGGGCCCTTACAGCAGCCGCGACGTCCGTCTCCTTCCACTGGCTGCCCTCTCACGTTGGCATAGCTGGCAACGAGGAGGTGGACACACTGTCCAAGGCAGCGCACCAGCCAGAAACCCCCATCACCCAAGCCGTGGGGGTGAGAGACTACACGCAGGCCTGTATCAAGAAGCTCCTTGCCTCGGTCCACCCAGACCAGAGGGTGGCCAATGGGCAGGGACCCAGGCGTCTTCCCGAGGCAGGCCTTACCAGGAGAGAACGAGCCAACCTACTGCGGCTGCGGACCAGATGCGTGTGGACCGCGGCCCTCTCGGACCGCGGTACTCTGGGCCCGGGGACCGAGGCGGTTCATTCCAGCCATCAGGACGTCACTGCAGGCGGCCCTGGATGCGGTGTCCGCCTACCTGAGTGGCATCGGACTCAAGGTCTCCGCAACCAAGACCGAGGCCCTGCTGATCCACCCACTGGCCACAGCACGACACTACGTGAAGCAGCTGAGAGTGGGCAACCGCAACCTGCCTTGGAAGCTGACAGTGAAGTACCTGGGGCTCACCATCGACCACCGTCTCACCTGGGTCCCAGCTGCCAAGGTCGCCTGCACACAAGTACGGCGAGTCCAGGGAGCCATCAGCAAGCTGCAGCAGCGTGGACACGGCTGCTCAACCAAGCTGGCGCTTCGACTCCGGACTGCTGTTCGTCTAAGGTTGCACGGTGGGCTTGTTGGTTATTCATGTTGTTCGAGGTATAGCGCTTCCTGGACGGGACAGAGAAGAAAACACAGAACACATACACGACGCTGTTCGTGCTGATGACGACCGTGCCACTGCTCACCTAATCTCTTTTCTTTTTCCACTTTTCTCCCATTTTCTCTTCCCCGCAGGCACTGCGCCGTGCTACCGAGCGGGTTGCAGAAATTGGGTGCCTTTTCTCATCTGCTAACCACTACCACCACCACCTTCCTGGACATCCGCGCTAACATCTCGCTGGTTCCCTGAACGTATGGAACTGGTACGCGTTTCGGGGGGCTGCCAATTGAGGTTGATTGGTGTTTTCGTATCCTCTGTTGCTCTGCGTGGTAGGTGGTGGCTCGAATGAAGTTTTTTGGGTATCCGTTTTTTCTGAGGTCAGCAATTACGCGGGCCTCCTCTTTCTTTCGCTCGGTGTCATTAGAGCATAAGTTCCTAGCTCTCTCGAGTACTGTGGTCACAACTGAGGCCTTGTGGCAGGCGGGGTGGGAAGAATCGAATTGAAGGTAGCGGCCAGTGTGCGTTGGCTTCCTATAAACAGAGAACTCCAGGCCGTTGCGCTTTCTTGTCACCTAGACGTCGAGAAAGGGCAAGCAGTGGTCGCTTTCACACTCAGTCATGAATTGTATGGCTGGGTGCAGGGAATTGAGGTGTTGTCTGAAGTTTTCAACTTCAGCCGTCTTAATGACGCAAAATCAATCATCCATATAACGCTGAAAAAGCTTGAGTCACGGCGAGCAGGAGCTGAGTGCTTTCTCTTCTATGTACTCCATGGTCAGGTTTGCCATCGTGACGGAGATGGAAGTTCCCATCGCAGTTCCACTGTTCTGCCTGAAAATAATTCCTTTGTATGAGAAGTACGTACTGGAGCGGCAGAACTCCAGTAGACGACAGAGCTCGTCAACCGCCAAAGGAGTCCTTCGCTCAGGCTTGCGTCCTCCTCAAGTGCAGCACAGGCAGCGGAGACAGCTAAGGGAACTGGCTCGTTGGTGAACAATGAAATGACGTCAAATAAGACCATGCTCCCGTCATCTCCGATGCTCACATTTGACGCTAGTTGCACGAAGTGGCTGGCGTCACGGACATGAGTTTGTGTCTTCCGGGTTAGTGGGGCGAAGATTTAGTGTAGAAAATTTGAAAGGACTAGCAATGGGGAGGAAGGGAACTCTACAATCGGTCGGAGGGGGACGTCAGGCTTGTGAATTTTTCGTAGTCCATAAAAACTCAGTGCGGATCCGTTAGCAAATTAGGCGCAGGTAAAGTGCTCTGAGATCTGGGTAATGCTTGAAAATCTCCGCGCGTAGCTTGTTTGGCTGTGTCTGGGTTTGCTTCGTTGGGTCCTCTACTAGCTGCGTGTATGCGTCTCCTTCTAAAAGAGCTGAAACCTTCTGATCGTAGTCCCCGCTGTCCAACACAGTCGAATTGCCCTTGTCGGCGGGCAAGATGACAATGCTTCGATACCGTCGGAGTTCCCGAAATGTCTGGTTCTCCTCCATGGTCAAGTTCTTTTTTCTTTGTGATGGTAATTTCGAAAGGATCCCAATAGATTTCAGCCTAATTTCTTCTCTGGCGCCCAGCCTCACGCTTTGGATGGCCTCCTCTACAGCCACGACAAGTTTCGGTAGACGGGGCGTCGTTGACATGTTATAGCCATGTCCCTTTGCCAGGACAAAAGTTTCCTGATCAGTGAGTGGGCGAGATTAAATATTGGTGACAAACCTGGAATTTCGGGTGGAACTCCGGTCCGACAGGCGGGAGAGTTTTTTTGCCGTTGATGCCGCATCGGAGTCCGCGAACTCGTCAACCGCAGACATAAACTCGGGGATGCGGTGCTCAAGTTGACGCTTGGCGAAGAACAGTTCCAGTTCTTTTTTTCTGTAGAGAGGCGTTAATTTCATGAAGGCGGGCGTTCATCAGTCGTTCGGCTCTCTTGACGACTTCCAAGCCCTCAGAGGTCAGAACAAACGTCGGGTTTCTTCAAAACTTTTGGTTGGAGTCTAAATCATCTCCAACGTTTCCTTTGGTATGCATGAAGACACATTAGAGAGAGAGAAGAACCTTTATTCAAGTATCCCTCCTGGGGTCAAAGGTGGCGGGGGGCCGGGAGACGGCCCCTCTGTAACCCCCTTCCTCAGGCGGCGGCCAGGCCTTGAATCCTAGCGGCCAGGCCCGCAAGCCCCGAGTGGCCCGGAATCCAGATGATCTCAACGCGGCGACGACGTAGCAGAGGTGTACTTGTGAGAATTCGGAGCGCCGGTTGGGAGGTCAAACCTTTGGTAAAGTTGCGGATGGCAGTCTTGGAGTCGCTGATGATGCAGGATGCTTGGGTTGAAGCGTAGGCGAGAGTGATGGCTGCTTCTTCGCCTTCTTCGGGTTTGTTTGCACGAATAGTGCCAGTTGCGGTAATTATGTACTGCGGCCCGGTGGCGACAGCAAGGGCCACGGCCCGATGCGTAGGATATTCCGCTGCGTCTACATACGCCACGTACGTGGCTTTCGCGTGACGCTTGCCTAGTTGCTTGGTGCCTTCTACTCGTCTTTCCACGTTATATTCAGGGTGCATACTGCGTGGTATGGGGGGAATCACGAAAGTATCGCGAATGTCCGAAGGAATTGGGAGTTTCTGGCCAAACTGGGAGACGTAAGGTATGCTGAGTGTGCACATGAGATGACGTCCTGTAGGAGTTTGGCCTATTCGTTGGTAGTGCGATATACATTGGGCTTCAATGAATTAGTCTATAGTATTGTGAAGTCCTAGGTCATTGAGTTTCGCATTGGGCGTAGACATGGAGAGATGCAGCGCGCACTTGTAGCAGCGC